GGACTCCGGGAAACAAACTGAGGGTTTTAGAGGGGATTGGGGGCTGGGGGGAATGGGTTAGCCCAGTGATGGGTATTAAGGAGGGCGCGTATTGCATGGAGCACTGGGTATTATGTGCAAATAATGAATCATGGAACACTACATCAAAAACTAATGATGTACTGTATGGTGACTAACATAATAAAAATAAATAAATAAGTGAAAAAAAAAAGGAAAAAGGCAAGCATGTCCTCTCTGATCACTCCTTTTCAATATCATACTGGAAGTCCTAGCTAATACAATAAGAGAAGAAAATGAAACAAAAGGTATACACTTCAGGAAGGAGGAAATTTTTATTTGCAGATGACATGATTTTTTGTCCAGAAAATTCCAAAGTCAACAATGACAACAACAAAACCTCCTGGAACTAATAAGCAATAGCAGCAAGGTTGCAGGATACAAGGTTAAAATACCAAAGTCAATCACTTTCATATATACCAGCAGTGAACACGTGGAATTTGAAATTAAAAACAGGGGCGCCTCGGTGGCTCCGTCGGTTAAGTGTCTGCCTTCAGCTCAGGTCATGATCCCATGGTCCTGGGATCGAGCCCCACGTCGGGCTCTCTGCTCCGTGAGGAGTCTGCTTCTCCCTCTCCCTCTGGCCCTCCCCCCTTGCTCATGCTCCCTCTCTCTCAAATGAATAAATAAAAAGTCTTAAAAAAAAAAACTTTTGAAATCAAAAACAATACTATATGCATTAGCACCAAAAAAATGAGTATTTAGGTATAATCTAAAAAATATGTACAAGCTATATATTAAAAAAAACTATAAAACTCTGTTGAAACAAAGAAGAACTAATTAAATGGAGAGGTATCCCATGCTCAGAGATTCAATATTGTCAAGTTATAAGTTCTTCCCTAATTGATCTATAGATTCAATGCAACCCAAATCAAAATCCTAGCAAGTTATTTTGTGGATATCAATAAACTGATTCTAAAGTTTATATGGAGAGGTAAAAGACCCAGAATAATGAACACAATTTTGAAGGAGAAGAGTAAAGTCAGAGGACTGACACTCTCTGACTTAAAGAATTACTATAAAGCTACAGTAATCAAGACAGGGTGACACTGTGAAAGAATAAACAAAAAGATCAATAGAAGAGAGTAGAGTGCCCAGAAATAGACCTCCATCAATAGAGTCGATCAATCTTTGACAAAGGAGTGAAGGCAATACAATGTGAGCAAAGATAGCCTCAATAAATGGTGCTGGAACAACTGAACATCCACATGCCAAAAAAAAAAAAAAAAATGAATCTAGACACAGACTTTTCATCCTTCACAAAAGTTAACTGAAAATGGAGTATAGATCTAACTGTAAAGTGCAACACTATAAAACTCCTGGAAGACAACATAGGAGAAAATCTAGATGACCCTGGATGTGGCAATGACTTTTTAGATGTAACACCAAGGGCGTAATCCATGACGGAAGGAAGTGATAAGCTGGACTTGCTTATCAATTTTTTAACTTTTGTTCTGTGAAAGACACTGTCAATAGAATGAGAAGATAAGCCACAGACTAGGAGAAAATATTTGCAAAAGATACATCTGATAAAGTCCTGTTATCTAAAATACACAAAGAACCATTAAAACTCAATAATAAAAAAATGAAAAATCCAACTTAAAAATGGGCAAAAGACCTGAACAGACACCATGAAAAGATATATCGATGGCAAATAAGCATATGAAAAGATGCTCCACATTGAATGTCACTGGAGAACTGCAAATTACAACAACAATGAGATACTACTCCATACCTATTAGAGTAGCCAAAATCCAACACAGTGACAACACCAAATGCTGACAAGAATGTGGAGCAATAGGAACTCCTTCATTACCGGTGGGAAAGCAAAATGATACAGCCACTTTGGAAAACTGTGGGGCAGTTTCTTACAAAAACAAACATACTCTTACCATCCAATCCAGCACTTGCACTCTTTGATATCTATTCAAAGGAGTTTAAAACTCATATCCACACAAAAACCTGCACACAGATGTTTGTAGCATCTTTATTCATAATTGTAAAACCTAGAAGCAACTAAGATGTCTTTCAGTGGGCAAACTGTGGTACATTCTAGACAATGTATTATTCAGCACTAAAAATAAATGAGCTATTAAGCCATGAAAAGACTTGGAGAAACATTAATTGCATAATAGTATTAAGTGAAAGAGGTCTATTTGGAAAAGTTACATATTGCAAGATTCCAATTACATGACATTCTGGGAAAGGCAAAACTATGGAGATGGTAAAAAGATCACTGGTTGCCAGGGGTGAGAGAAGAGGGAGGGATAAACAGAGAGAACACTGAGGAATTTCAGGGCTATGAAACTACTCTGCGAGATTATAGTGGTGGATACATGTCATTGTACATCTGTCAAAACCTACCCACTGTACAACAAACACCAAGAGGAAATCCTAATGCAAATGATGGACTTCAGGTGACAATGATGGGTTGACGTAGGTTCATCAGTTACGACAAACGCACCGCCCTCGTGGGGATGTTGCTAGTGGGGGTGGCTATGCATGTGTGAGGGTCAGGGAGCATGTGGGAAATCTCTGCACTTTCCTCTCCATTCCTCTGTAAACCCAGAACTGCTCTAAAAATAAAGTCTATTTTTTTTTTAAGTTAAAAAAAATGGGAATGACAAAACCAAAACTCAGGAGAGGGTGACAGAAGGTGATGGGTTGCCCATATAAACAAAGGGCTTCTAGGATTCTGGTTAATTCTTAAGCTGAATGACATATCCCCAAATGGATCATTGATGACTTTTCTGAGTCACTGGATTTACTCCCCCTCGTGCTGACCTTAGAAGATAACAGCTTTTCCGTATTGTTTGAACTCCATTTTAAGTGGTGCTTTCTGTTATTCATAGTTAAAATCACTCAAACTGATAGTCTCTTAATTTGGATGCAGTACAACTGGGATCTGATTTAGCATGTCATCATTTCCTCCTATTCTGTTTGTCTAAACATATCATTAAAACCTTGTCTTAGTTACCCCCCAACTATAAAAAAGACTTGTTTGGGAAAAAAAGAGCCTGTAATTAAAACAACTCAGTATTTTTCCAATCCTAAAAGGTATCTTCCTTGAAAACATTCTGATTAAGCATGTGTGGTACCAAGGATAACCAAGACTTTTTAAAAAATCTATAAATCACCAAACAGATAAGGAGTCAGGCTTGTACTCTTGCCCTCCATAGGGAACAGCTTAATCTGGCCGGAAGATCACACATTTCCCATTGGAGTTACAGGCTGGAGGTCAGACCACAGGCTGAATTCAGCTACCACAGGAGTTCTTAAAAGGAGAGCAAACAAGGAAACGAGGAGATTTTTGTTCAGAAAGGGGCATGCTCTCTGCTGTTTTGGCCAGAGAAATAAAGAGCAGTGGTTTCTCCACAGACAAGTCCTATACTGGAGACTGTGTCCTGCTTAGGAGAGGACTTCCATCCCACCTACTTGCAGATATAAAGAAATGCGCAGACCAGAAAGGGAGTGGGGCAACAGAGGGACTTACACAGGCACACACCATTTATTCTCTCTCCCAGACAGTATGAACCAAGCCCTTCACCTGCATGCTTCCATTTAATCCTCAAGACAACCCTGCAGAAGCAAGTCTGCTCATCTCACAGGACGAAGATGCAGAGAGGTTGAGTAAGCTGCCAAAGGCCATCCGCCAGGGGTTGGTGGAGCTGAGAGTCAAACCCATGTCTGTCCCACTCTAAAGCTCGTATTCTTCTCCTTATTATCATATACAAGAACCACAAAGAATACCACAGAACAACTCAGTCTTGGGCTTCAAAGGCTGCCCCCCTGCCCACGTCTCTTGCCCTCTCCTGTCAAGCGTAGTGCTGGCCATACCATAAAGATGCAGGCCCTGCTAAGCTCAGTAGGATTCCATTATGAAAAGGGATTCCTACATCCTCACTTCCCAGACCACAAAGCCTGGCCCTCACAGCCACCATCCACCTCACACATGCATCATCTCAGCCACCACAGGAACAAGGCTGGAAAAAAATCAAAAACCAAAGGGGGGGTTTGCTCAAGGCAACTACACCCTGTCTGCCCCAGTCCAGCCTCAGTCTGAAGCTACCTCCTGATGCTTGTCCTATTGACAGTAATTGCCACAAATTACCTAAGGTCCAACAAGAGACAGCCCTCAGGAGGGAGGCACTGCCGTAGATAGCGTGCATGTACATGAGGTGAACCATCAGCTCGGCCAGCCACCAATAGCAGAGGAGGCGACCCAGCCCCACGGCAAAGGCGGAAAGGTTGGACTTCAGCGAGCAGTCCTCTTGCCGCTGCATCTAAAGTAGAAACAAAAGAAGCCATTAGATTGTGCCTTCGTTTTTTAAATCTTCCAAAGAGCCCCCTATACAGTATTGCTAGTAAACTTCTCACAAACGTTATTACTCTATCTACCCAAAGAGGGTTGGGTTAGTTATTCATTATTCTCAGGTGAAAAAGTCACGCCCGAGCTCGGGTGGGGTCAACGAGCTAGCCTCGTGCCAAGAACCAAGATGGGTTCTGCATCCCTTCACCCCAGCAACAGCCCTGCAAACAGCCGGGGTGGAGGGCAGTGCCTGATGTATTCTCCCTCAGGACTTTGGGGTCTCTTTGGACTCAGGTGTCACCCTGCCTGTCTTCATCCATCACCCACCCACATGGAAGGCTGGTAAAAGTAGGGCCAAGTCAGGAAGGGGCAGAGAACTGGTAAGAGAAAGGGAGAATGAGAGAGCCTGAGGATAAGGGAAAAATTCGATGTGGGTGTGTCATCTTACCTGAAGTTGTTTTTGAAACAAGGCAGAATAAACACAAACAGAGACAGTATGTGGGGACAAGTCTCCTGCTCAGCAGACACTGCGGTGTGACAGTTAGGAACACGGACTTTGCAGTCAGAATCGGGATCAGATCCTAGCACAAACCACACAGCTGTGTGATCCTGAGCAGGTTACTTAATATTTCTGAGGTTCCCTCATACGTAAAGTGGAGAAAAAAAATGGTCATGACTAAATATGATAACATATATGAAGTACTAAGCACAGCACCCAGCATATAAAAAGCACTGGCTAATTGGTAGTTAGTATCTGGTAGGTTACATGTCTCCTACTGCGCCTTCTTCACATTCTTCCCTCATGGCATCCCAGGCTACCAGCTACAGGGCAAAATTAGGACACAGGTCAGAACCAAACACCAAAGGTGAGAGAAGGACGTTTGGATTATTCATGGACACAGACAGACTACTGAGAGTTCACTCAACATGTATGGACAGCACAGAGCCAATTTGATCACAGTAGCTGGATTCTGGGTCTTGCCTCATTGCCCGCTGTTTAGGGATGCAAAATAGTTTAAAACACATAGATGCTGAAATGCATAAGCACATTATAAAATGTGTGTGAATTCAATTTCATCTGTACACCACTAGACAAACACACAAACACAGGAGAGAGCACGAGAGTGTTCTGGGTCCCACTCTGACAAGATTTTATTAGACCGAAGCCCGCCTTGTAATGCAGAGGTGAAGCTAATGCATAAATGACGATGTTGAATCCGCAAACATTCGCTGGCAGAAGAAACGGACTTGATTTAGCTTTTGACGGTCTGGGCTCCAGACACTACCCGAAGAGGAAGGGCCCATTCCTAGGGCCTCTTGGGCTTCCACGGCCTTGAACGTCAAAGGCACAGGGGGTCCTGCTGCAGCCAGGAGCGATAGGCACTACTCTCAGAGAGGAAGGGAGATCTGCATGCCAGGGGAGTTACTTTTATTCCATTTTGACCATACATTCTACCACTTTCTCAAACTGTCCTCTCCGTGCAAGACGCCAGCTTCAGAAATTCTGGCTGGCTCAGCGGCATCACGATAACCTGCACAAAGGGCTTTGCTCCCTTTTGCCATCTGCGTGGGTAGCTACACCAAGGAAAGCTCGTTGGCTTAATATTTTTTCATGTAAATTGATTAAACTAACAGGAATTTCCTTTCTCCATTCACTTTCCGCAGTCGGCCTTAGGAAGGTATTTTGCCCAGCCATACCAACCTGCCTTGTTAGAAGCAACAGTCACTGCGGGGAGGGATCCACCAGGTCACCTGGGAAGGGTTTTCCTGGAAGGAAGACTGGGCATATCAGGGCTTTGCAGACCCACACAGATCACAGCCAACTGCAATCGCAGCTGAACTACTTGACCCAATGCACATCCCTTTCCAGGCATAAACTGAGGGTGGTTTTCATTTGAATGCATACCTGAAGTGTGCATGCTCTTCGAGACCGTACAGAATCTACAGCAGTGGATCTGTAGGCCAATGGATGGGTAAAGCCTCAGTGCAGAGATGCCTACCTGCCCAATCATTCACGTCTGTTACTGAATTGAGAAGAAAAGGAAATAACCCAAATGTCCAGCTGTGGGAGGTTGGTCAAATGCATGAGTGCACGTCAATATTATGCAGCCATGAAAACTACTTTTTTCAATGTGTATAAATAATGAAAGACTGGAAAGATACACACCAAAATGGCAACAGTGATTGTATTCTTTTTGGTAAGATTTTTAGATTGCTTTTGACCATTGGTTATTTTTATAATAAGGGGAAAGTAATGGAACTTCACGATATTGTGAAGAGCTGGGTCCTCTCTATGGATGAGGCAAGGTCTTCTACTTCTTCACACTTCTAAAAAATATCTAGCTTCAGGATCTCTCCTGGGCAGCCCGGCATCCTCTACGGGTAAATATTCTGCTCGCTCTCCTACAATGGACCCATCTTTATTTCTTAACTTCCCACCTCAGTGGTTGATTTTCTTACCTGTATACTGAGGTCCTCTTTGTTCATTCTTTTCCAGCTCTCTAAAGCAAATTCACTCTGACCTCAATGCCATCAGCATATGAGGGAACAATTATGAACATAGTGTCCATTGGCCTGTGGAGACCGGAGGAGTTCACACCAAGGCCGTCAGCTAAGCTGAGACATGAAGAGGCACCCAAACCATTCCAGACCACAGGTGGGCCTTTCTTGGTGCCACACTCTTGGAGGGAAGCAAGTCCCCAGCTGAATGTGATAATGGTCTCACAAGCAGTGTGGACAGAACACAATCTTCATACAACAGAATGTCTCCAGTTGCTAAATAAGCAACTCTGCACGTGGCCTGTAGACCCCTGAGCATAAGCCCACCCCAAGCTCTGGTCTCCTGAAGACCAGACCTGTACCTGAGGCCGCAGAGCATCCCTGGGGATGCAGCCCCAGCCCTGGGAGCAGAAAAGCAGCTGGGTGGGAGGGGAGCCCCACCAGGCAATCAGGAAAACATGTCTACCCAATCACCTCTTAGCTCCGGGCAACTGCCATTCAAGTTCAGTTCAGAGGCCTGCCTTCGTTTCCCCAAACAATGTGCAGTCTAAAATGACACAAAAATCTGTAATTAAGGAGAAACATGAGGTGCCTTTTGTGGCTGATTGGCTCCCCAATAATGGCTTACCTACTCTCCCCAGGGCAAAACTTCTGTACCCGGTTTAATAACGTATAATTATGTGTCACCACTGGACCAGAAGCACTGGACTTTTCTCTGCAATGCCCTCTTTTTGATGCTGGATGCCACCTCATTCAGAGTAACAGAATTGTCTTCCTTAATCATACAAGTGAATACAGGAGAAGGAAAACAATCCAGTTTTTTTTAATTCTATTTGCTTGTACTTAAAAAAATGGTTATTCATCTTTCTTAAGAGTCATATGATTACAGTCCATTTATACCTTCAATCTAGTTGACTCGCTTTTATTTAAAAAATTCAGCATTTGTCCCTTGTCGATCCAGCAGGAATAAAAGATATGCCATACACAGCTCACCTAATGAGCAGGGTTGTTCTCTTGTCTGCATGCAAGCATTTCATTTGAGATATCTCAAACCTCGGGGAGTGCCAACCTTCAGACCATTGGAAACTGCCATCAAGGGGAATTTTTAGTTAAGGCTCCACTAAAAGATACACATTAACTCATCTGCAAAGTGCATTTTAAAACACATTATATTTTAAAACCTCATTTCATGCAAATTGCATAAAAAGGAATATCGAAGCCTTTCAAAGATAGTCGGATGATTAAAGATGACAGTTCTCAAAGATGAAAGGTTCTTTCCCTCCACACACTAATCATACGGATGTTTAAGAGCACCAAACAAAAGGCTTCCCTGGAGCCAGGGTTCGACTGTGCCGACTCTGCTCCCACCTCTACACGTGGGTCAAGGGCACTGTAGCCAGGAGTCTTATCCTTTGTGGTGGAGGAGCATCTCTGCAACCCATGGTCACAGACCCTACCTACTCCCAACAAAGCCTTCTGTACTAGCACCCCCCTCCCCCCAGGCATCCAGACCACGGCCAGGGGAATCGCCCCAGCTCTGCCACGACAGCGAGTGGCACCCAGCTGGTGCAGCTGCTGCAGGCCTGGGACCTGCTCCAGCCAGCTTGAGCCTCCAGACCCAGATGTCCACCAGGCCACACTGCATCTCTAACTCCAACTGGGCAGCCAGCCCCACATCTGTATTCCCTCCACCCTGATGTGCATTCGATGAGCCTCTCTTTGCCTCTGTGTTACCATCTGTAAAGTGGTGGTAACAAGAGTATCTCTCTTCTCCAGTGGCTGTGAGGATGAAGGAGTTAGCACATGTCAAGTCTGGCTCGGAGCAGGTGCTCGGTTGGAGTTACGTATTACAGTCTGTATTATTCCAGGTGGTCTCTAGAGCCAGAGCCCGCCCCAAACCCAGATTGGCACAGCTGGAACACTGTCTGCCTGCCCAGCTCTTGCCCACCCTGGCACCTGCAGCAACCACCTGTGTCTCTCTCCTGAAGAGACAGAATCAACACACTGGTCCCTTCTGAGGCCAAGAATGGCCACCGCCCAGGATCCCCTGCTTCTGTGCCCACCTATGTGACGGGACACCCCGGGTCTTGGTTCTGGCCTAAACCTATGTTAGTTCCCAACCTCGGGAGCTTCCTGGGGTAAAATCCGAAACAGGCCCCTCTGCGTGAAGGGCAGGGAGAGAACAAAGAGGCAGAACACTCCAGATTGGTAGGTGGCAGGTGTGATGAGCAGAGGAACTTACATACAAGGCTGGTCTCGAGTGGCTTCAAGATCTCCACCCCCGCCTACCAAGTCTTAAAAGTTTATGTAGAGGCCTTAACCGGGTCCGGTCACATATTCAGTCCAGAGGGTCTCAATGACACTTTACTCTCTCAAGGCTGTGCCCTTGAAATAGCTCGTGGTGAGGAATGGCAGGCGGAATGCACATTCTAAGGACAGGGGAAGGCGTGAGGAGCCTCCGATTGCCTGGGCTCAGCTTGTGGGTCAACCAGCAGTCACAGCCTCTCCACGACCTCCTCCAACAACTTCCCCCGGAATTGCCACCTGCTTCCGGCAAACAACAACAACTGTTAATGTTAACGCTTCACAGCATTTACATGTGAAGCCATGTTACCTATACGAAATCAGTTAATCCTTACAACAGTCCTAAGAGGGAGATACTATTATCCTTCCCATTTCACTGATAAGGGAACAGGAGTCACAAATAAGGTAAGTAATTCACCAAATGCTCTCAAGCCAGAGCGAAGCAGGAATTCAAACCCTGTGACAATGACAATAGGGTTGGGCTCCAGGGTCTGCGCTCTTAGCCACCATGCAAGCTAACTGTTTGAGCACTGGCTCATCCACTGGGGGTAGGAGCATAGCCCTCAGTAAGGAAAAGCCCCCTGGTCCTACCACACTCTGCTCACCAGAGTCCTCTCCCACACCAGACCCCACTGCACAATTCAACCTGCTCAGAGTAAGATGTGGTGGCCCCAGGCTCCAAGCTAAGTGAATAAATAAGCCTCATGTGTAAGTGTCTCTGCTGATTAAACCTGCCCCCCCAGCCACCCCGTCCTCTGGCATCACCCCTAGCTCAGTATCTGAGTTCCACAGACCACAGGAGAAAAATAAACGGGGCACATGTTCCTGAAACTCCAAATGCCATCTCAGATGGCCTTCAAGTTAAGGCACTGTGGCCTTTTAACAGGCAAATTTTTACCTGCTCATGATCAGTGTGCAAATTTCACATGCCTTACTTCACACCTCTTCTATGCTTCCCTCATCTTGTGTATGCAATTTACATACTAAAAAAAACTGGGTGAAAGATAACATTCTCCCCAAGGTAACCTTAATACCGTCATTTTATCAACCAGAGTCTGCCCTTCTGGTTGGTTTCCACAGTGGGGCTCTGCTGCCCCCTGGTGGCAGAGCCTCATTCTCTGGTTCTCATTGACCAGACAACCTAAGAACCATGAATTTCAGGATTACCATTTCATGTTATATTTATTCATTCACTCACACACTCGTTCAGAGCAAACATTGCTTATAAGTTCTTCCAGTTGGCTTTCTTCCCTCTCCTAGCAACCTCTTCCTTCGTGGCCTCCCTGAAGAAATTCTTTCAGTCCTGGCTTAGCTTCCTAGCTAACTGCTCCCCTTTAAGACCCATTTTTCTCAAAGGGGGTCAGTGCCCCATAAGACTTTCTGTAACTGCAGAAACCTCATGGCTGCCTTTATCTGCACAGCAGCTTACTAAACATTTTGCCTTTTCTAGACTGACTTTCCTATGAATCTTCCCAGACCACAGAGAAAGGTCCCAATTTGCCTTCTGAGTTCTCTGCTTTTAGCAAGTGCTCCCATTTTGAAAGGAGTGAAAAAGAGAGGGGTAAGACAGAGATGCAACCAGAGTCTCCATACCTGAGTCCCTACAGGAAGAAGCCTGGTCATCCCCAGCCTCCAGCCCCCAAAGAACTGCCGAAGAACTCAGGACAGTAGTTATCAACCTCTAGCAGGCAGCAGAATCACCTGGAAGGCCTATTAAATCACATTGCTGGGCCCCACCCCAAAGTGTCTGAATCAGATCTGAGGTGGGGCCCAAGAATTTGCGTTTCTAACAAGTTCCCAGTTGATCCTTCTGTTGCTGGTCCAAAGACCACACTTTGAGAACCGCTGAGTTAGAAATCAGCTGCCATCACTAACCACCTGTCTTCTACACAATAATCTTACACATAATTTTCAAACATGAACTTCAAATTGCTCAGGACAGAAGAATGGTCCCATGTAACCTAAACTGAGGTATGAGAAACCATATGCTAAACACATATCTGCCCAGAATATCAGTTTCACTTGAAGATTTATGGAGGAAAAAAAAGTTAAATAATTTAATTGGCAATTTTAAAACTGCACGTTGTTGTTATGTGTATAATGAAATATACAAGTGTATGTGTATACACATTCACATAATGTATAGATAAATACACAATATAAACGTGTATAATGAAATACACTTTTGAGAACAATGGATAACTGTGTGGGATTTTTAAGACAGAATATGGGATTTCTAAGAACCCTGCTACTTTTCCAGGGGGCACCTTCCATATTCCCTTTGAAAATATGCAGCGCTGCTCCTGGCGCTGCACTTTGAACTCATTCCAGGAGCGTGTGTGTGTATGTGGGTGCTGTGCACGGGCGTGTGCTGTGTGCTGTGTGTGCAGAGGTGTTGTTATTCCCCACCTCCACCGAGACTGTTGTATTTTGGTGGTAGGCGGTAGAACTGTCCCTCGAGAAACACAGGTTTTAGGTATTATCGATGACTAAAACTTGATTGACTTCCCAAACATGTTCCGTGAGGCTGGCTGTGGGATGAGAGCAAAAATCCTAAGTAGGAGGGGAAGGGAGGTGGGAATGACGAAGGCAGCTTGACAGGAGCTTCAGACAAGGCTGAAGGGAAGCCGGGTCCAGGGCAGAAACAGGCACTTGGACCCCGAAACACACCACTACCATCCAACTCTCTCCAACTCTGCTCTGTTGTCTCATCTAGGTCACCCTGAACAATTCTCAGGTGATGACAGAGTTATTTCATAAGCAGTTTGTGACAATAAAAGACAACATGGTATTTGCCAACCAATAGCTTAGACAGTTTCCCTTTCTACTTTTCCAAGTAATACCATCACAATCCAATTTTTTCTTTCCCTGGGACTCTCGGCAGTGGATACCCATCCCTAAGTTCCTTGCTGTGCCCAGTTACTCATCCTGGTTTCCAGAGCCCACCAAGGAGTCGGTGGGGGCGGGGGGGGGGCGCGGTTCCTTGAACCAACAGGCACAAGAGACAGGTCGACCTTCATTTCAAATACTTATTCCCCCTAAGTATTTCATTTCTGATGCAAGAAGTTACAACAATCACGTGTTTTCAATCTGTGGGAACCCCTGAATGCAAAGCCTCAGGAGTCTCGTGGATGGCCACGGCCAGTTTAATCTACAGAATACCAGTCCAGTCCCCAGTGGGCTCTACCTTTGCGATGAACTCCGGGAAGCTGAGGATGGGCCCATTGTGGAAGACAGGGTAATAGAAGACATAGGCCACCAGCCAGGGAAAGGAGTAGAAGCTGCTCCCGGTGGGCATCTCCTGCCAGCAGAACTCCAGGCTGAAGCTGGTGTAGGATAGGCAGCGCACAGTCAGCGTGAACTGCAGCAAGTAGTACTCGTTTTCGGTCTGGTACCAGCCTCTCTGCAAAGTCCCAAAAAGAGAACAGCCCTTGAGCGTCAAGGAGAACACCATCCAGGACCCTGGGAAGGAGACTGCTTCCACAGGTAGAGTGGCTGTCCCATAAAGGGAACTGAGAACCAAGGAGCAGCGGGTAAGTCTCCCTGGTGATCAAACAAGTGGTTAATGAGCAGTGGGTGGTGGAGTGTCTCTAACACCACCCATCCACGAAGCATGAGGCCTGATGCGCTATAATGAAAGTTCTCCTGCCAGTGCATCTCTCAGATTCATCCAGACATGGATGTGCACTTTTTGGTGTGCACTTAAAAATATGGCTTCCAGGGGGCGCCTGGGTGGCTCAGTCGTTAAGCATCTGCCTTCGGCTCAGGTCATAGTCCCAGGGTCCTGGGATCAAGCCCCACATCGGGCTCCCTGCTCGGCGGGAAGCCTGCTTCTCCCTCTCCCTCTGGCCCTCCC